GAAGGCTATCAGAAAACTTCCCATTAGATGACATTGCTTCTGCCAGATATGGTAGAGGTTGGAGCCAGGCAGATTTTGAAGAGTAAGTCGACGGGACGCTGCCGGAGGTGCTGCCCAAACAACAAAGCTGCCATCGCCGCTCTGCTCAGTCTGCTCAGCCCTGGCCCAGCCTTTGAACACTGCCCAAGCGTCTGACCCAGCTTATCTTGGGACTCCAAGGTAATAGGTGTCTCCAGATCCCCCTGGAGAAGCCAAGGGACAGAAACYGGGCAGCTGAAGTGAGAGGCGGCTGCAGCTTGGTAGAGCAAAACCCCTTCTTGCCCTTGCTCGCTGCCAGCTTTGGAGCGTGCCAGCCTCCCTCCAGCCACGGGAAGAGCAGCTCCATTGCCAGCAGGCAGCCCTGTGCTCCCCACGGCGTCAAACGCCGGCAAAGCCTCTGCCTTGAGCACTGCTTCCCCGGTGCCATGCCGGCACCCACCGTGCCCGCACCAGGGACCAGCACCCAGCAGAGCACCCAGCAGAGCAGCAGCATCCTTCACTTCAGGGACAGCCACYGACAAGCGGGTTCAGCCTTCCCATTAATCAGTCCACAAGTACCACAGTAGAACACCCCTCACAAGCACCGATAACCTTAATAAGGCAATTTCAGCTTAAATCACCAGTTGTGGCCACAGCAGGTGGCCAGAGTCACTGACATTATCCCGTACAGCTGTCCCCACTGATGACAGGGCTAGGGCCAGAAGCAGGGGCTGATTCACCTAGCAGGAGGGAATAACCAGCTGCCAGGGAATACCAGGAGCAGGGAATAACCCTTGCACCCAACGCTGCAAAGCACCGAGGCTCCCAGGCCGTGCTCAGAGTTAGCAGAGCAGAGCCCTTTGTCCACACAGCCGAGGACCTAKAAAACACCAGAAGTCAGCACCATCTCCCCGGAGTTGATTCCGAGAGGCACGATGCTCTCCCCGCTGGAGTTTGGTGGGGTGATTCTAAGCACATATCTCCTCCCAGCCCCGGGAACTTCACCTCACCTCTTAAATAAGGTCAAGCCAGAAAACAAGATGCTTTTATTGGCCACGATGTGATGGCGCTCGGCTCCGTTGCTGCATTGCCTTCCTGCGGGAAACCCTCATCCTGCAGCAGCCTTCAGCTCCCTCTTCCTCCGGTGATTAACAAGCTGCCCTTAACCTCGCAGGGCAGAACAGATTTCCCCATGACTAGTAAAGACCCAGATGCAAGCCTCAGATATATTTCTCCTACAGAAAACAATCATTTCTTCGTGTTCTAATTACCATGTATAATAGCAGGGTCCAGGCTAGTACATGAGCTTTGCCCTTTCATTACCAGCAGAAGAAAAGCCAGGTTATTGCTTTTCCCCAGGTGCATGAGCTGAGGAGATGAAAGGGCTGGAAATGAAATTTCAGAATTTCGTTTCTGGAAAGCTGCTCTTGGGGGAGCCACTGGCAGCAAGGGGCTCCCTTCATCCTGCACATGATGGAAGGGGACTTGCAAACACGGTGCCTTCAAATTTGCAATGGAGCCTGGACGTTTCTTCTGCAAGTAGCTCCTGTTGGGAGAAAGACCCTGGCCCAAGCACAAGGCCAAGCTCAGAAGACAGCCCAGAGCAGGGTTCAAGCCCTTGGGACATCACAGCTGAGATGACCAGCTCCATGTCCCCTTGGTTTGCCCACAACTCCTCACCTATATGCACAGGTCAGAAGTGAATCCTTTCAGAGGTGTAGGGTTGCTTCCCAATTCAAATTGCTCTGAAAAGACAGGTGAAGGTCTGCTAACTCATGAGCTACACAAGGGTATGGACCAGGGCAGAGAGGACTCCACAGTGAGGGACAGGCCAGGTCTCTTCCAGGGGGACAGGCTGGCAAGAAGGAAAGAGCACGCRCAGAGTTCCCTGCATGTCAGCCTGGGAAGGGCAGGCTGACTACCAGGAAAGGGATTGCAGAGGACAGGGCACCCTCTCCACTGCTGCCTTGCCTGGTTCCCCTCTCCAGGCAGAGCTGTACCCATTCCCAGCACTCGGCACACCCCCGCGCATGTCCATCTGCCCACGCTGCTAGGGGRTCCCGAGCCCCATACACGGCTGACCTCCAGCCAGGGACGGCGGAGGCAGCAGGGAAGGGACTCTACTTTTTGGTTTTCGCCTCTGTCTCCTCGTCCTCTGCATCATCATTGATGTCCGTAGCCACCTGCAGCGCGGGGCCCTGGAACCGCTCGAGGAAGGGGTCCGGTTTTTGCTCCTCCTCATGCAAGCTCTTGCTGGCCCAGTCTCTCAGCACCAGCACCAGGCGGACTATCCTGAAGAGGGGAAGAGAGGCAGAGTCAGGAGGAGGTGCCTGTGGAGCCAGGAGAGAGCAAGCCCTTATGGGGAGCTGAGAGTGCCATGCTGGTGGCGAAGTCCATGGTGTACTCAAGGTGCCTACAGCAGAGAGGAAAGGTTTCACAGCCCCTTATCAGGTCCAAATATGGCTTTTTTTCTCCCTTGCAGTGACTGTATAGGATGGAGAATATATGACAGTCCTGAGCCCAAGACAGTCCCAAGACAGTCCTGAGCCCACCCCAGCAGAGACCAGATGCCTCTTCCCAAATCTTTCTGTCYCTTGCCAGAAGAGCATGAGGAAATAAATAAATAAATCAGGAATGGTTTAAATTGGGAATGTTGACCCTACACAAGCCCCCAGTGCCCTCAGCCCTGCGGGAGCACCCAACTCGCTATGGGATGGGGAAGCCATCTGTGTTGGTTGCTCATGGTCAAGGGAGCAGGTAGGCAGCACGCGCCCTAGCCTGGCATGCTGAGAGATGGCAAAGCCCGGGCGGGAAGGACAGAGCACTGAGTATTCAGCAGCCCTGTACGGCAGCCCGTTCCCCGCTTTCACTGTGCGAATTTCAGTCTGGCCCCAAAGGCTGGGCTCAGCCCAAAGCCCATCAAACAGCTCTGCAGCGCCTTGGGAATGGTGCCCAGGAGCTGCCCAGCACACACGGCCACCACACGCATGGATACCTGGCCAGGGCTTGTCGCCCTTGGAAAGCAGGGGCGGGCGGCTGCTCTCCACCGTCCAGAGGAGCATCTCCCTGTGGCTCTGAGGAGGCTTCATGGTGGAAAGAGCGGGTCCTGCAGCAGGGAGAACAAGAGTCATGGCSACATTGTCCTGCAGTGGTGCCTGCCCGCAACCACCTTAGCCCAGCTGCAGGAAGCAAGCGCTTGGCGTGTGTCGTTGCAGCCCTGCTGTGGTCCCATGGGACACGGTCCCAAGCAGGAGGTGACCCATGCCCTCCTCCTCACCCTCCGCTGCAGGGCAGCACCAGAGCAAGAACTGTGCATCCCGGTGGCACGCGGGCTCCTCAAGAAGGTCCTCAGAGCCTCCCTGATCCCTCCCTCTCCCCGAGCACGGCCTCACCTCTGGGTGCTGAGCACCGTCTCGGGGCCATCCCTGCCTGGGGCGGGCGGACGGCGGTGCTGGCTGGCAGGCGAGCTCTGCAGCCCGTTACTCTTCATCGCTGTCGTCCACGCAAGGACCTCATGGGTGCACACGCTGTCCCAGGAGCCTCGACAGAGCAGAGGGCAGCTGAGTGCAGCCGCGCCTGGAGCAGGACACGCTGCGTGCCACCAGGCCCTCCAGCTTCACACACACACCGCCAAGACGTGACGCAGGAAGAGAAGGTGCCCATTCGGCGTCTCCATCAGCAGCGCGGCAGTGCCAGCCCCGCGCAGCGTTGCRCGTTGCTCGGAGCCGTCGCCAGGCGCCCGGCAGCAGCCGCAGCCATTGCCAGGGCGACGGCGCCGAGGAGGGAGCCGCTCCCGGCGGAGCGGCCGCAGCCCGCGGCGGGAAAACAGGGCGCCGCCGGGAGACACCGCGCGTACGGGGGCTGCGCCCCGCTCGAGCGAGCGCTCAGAATCCACCGCACTGGCAATTAGCGTTCGCGATTTAAGAAGGAAGAGCCTCACTGAGCTCCGTGCTGCCTTCTGGGTTCAGGGAGCGGGGGAAAGCATGCATTTATACACAAAGGCTGATAAATTAAATTCGTTACCCAAAGAGTAGGAGGTTGCCAGGTCCCTCACATTGCACCAGCCRTCCCCCTCGCGGCTGCCCTTAGCCCACGTGGCTGGAGAAACAGTCCTTGGCTTTAGGAGGCAAAGCCACAGCAGGGTAGGAAGGCAGGCGCTGCCCAGGGCAGCGCAGTGAAGGCGACATTGGGCACGCCGCACTGGTGAGCGGGATGCAACGGGAAGGCACCTCACCAAAACACAGGCCTGGCACGCAGGGACACACGGGCAAACACCCACTGGGGTCCACGTACCCCTTTCTGACAGCCCTGCCACACACTTCGGGCACAAAGTCTTCCAACCCGCCTCGGTCATGGACAGATGGACAAGACAGGGAATGGATGCTCAGGGGACATGTCCTCAGGGCCCAGCATGGCGCCTCCCTTGGGCAGGGGTCTGCATGTGCCTGGGCAGCACTGTGTAAACCGTTCCACCACAGAGACCACGCTGGGTTCTCCARAAGGGTTGTGGACTCTCCTTCTCTGGAGATATTCAAAGCCCATGGGGACACAGTCAYGGGCAATGTGCTCTGGGTGACCCTGCTTGAGCCAGGCTTGGAGCAGGAGATCCCCAGAGATCCCTCTTCTTTCCAACAGCATCCGATGCTTTGCCGTGGCCCAGGCTAAAGCAGCCCCTGCCACGTGCGTTGCATAGTGCAGGGTGTGCGGGGCTGGGCTGGAAGCACCAGCATCCAGAGCCATCGACTATGAGCAGCTCTATTTATTTATTTCCCCTTTAAAGCTTAAATTCCCATCTTTTCTGATCCCCCTGAAGAACTGGAAAGCGGGACAGACACACGGAGTTTATTCAAACATGTATTTTATGGATCAGCATTTCCAGATTTACATCAGGAAGCATGCCCTATGGAAAAGCCATATTGCATCTCCCACAACATGTCAATAATTAGCTATCAAGAACACATATGGGATGGGTCACCTCCCCTCCAGATGTCTTCAGTGCACATTTTGAAGGTGTTGTGTCCTTCTCACCCTAGACTACAGCTTCAGGGAAAAAAAAAATATTTCTTCAAGAGCATATTTTCAGTCCTCAGAAAAGAGGAAGCGCCAAATAAGTACTTTCCAAACAACGAGGCTGCCTGGCAAGACTCTCTCAGAGGCTGTGGCAACTCCCTCTTCAAATCACATGTATGAAGAGAGAACAAGAGGTGGCAAAATGGACTATTGCCCTGTCCTGCCCCTCCAGAAAACCTGGTGAGTTGGAGYATGAGCCCAGCAAATCACACTCCAGAAGAGAAGCAGCCAGAACTTGTATATGAATTTGCAAGAGGGCCCCTGGAAGCCCTGACCACAGCCCTTAGCCACGGGAACCACCTCGGGAGCAGCGCTCACACACCCCCATGTACACCCTGAGCCAGCCCAACCACCAGATCCGGGCTCTTCTCCACAATAAATCTTACCTCTCTCCTCAGCTCCGGTGCTGGCCACAGGCTCAGACCTGCAATTACTTGCGGGACAGTTATTTATTGGCAAATGTCTGGCTGCCAGATTTACAGGCCCAAATAGCAGGTGCAGCTGCAGGCACAAAACACTTAAGCATCCATGTCTGTAAACAAACAATTGGCATACCCGGATGTCCTGCTGCTCCGGTATAATTATTCATAGGTGGAACAAAACGGTCCTGTTAAAGCATTGCCAAGAGCTGACCCCAAGCCTGCAGGCACAACTCCAGCAGGCGTTCTGGATAAACCACCAAAAGCCTTTCATAGTCATCTCATTGCAGCCTTGGAATCTCAAGCATCACCTCCCAGTGTGGGCACAAAGCACGCCTTGGTCCCCAGGCACACCAGTTTCCACGTGTCAGTTCCTGTCCTCCAGTCCTACCTTGTCCCGTTACATCCCAAGGGTGAGTATGGGCCTGGTCGTCATGCAGGTCTCTCAAGAGCTTGTGGCTTTGGGGTGGTATCAGCAATCTCAGTTCTCACCCACCTGACCCCACGCTGGTKGGGAGGTTGTGGAGGAAACGTGACTGCTGCTGAGCTGGTCCCGCCAGGCACGAGGGACCCAGGCAGCACAGATCCAAGGGGGTTAATTCCAAGGGAGCAAAGAAAGAGCCAAGCCTCTGAATTGGGCTGGTCACTAGCTAAAGAACACCTGGGTCAAGAATTCCCCCCTCCTGGGTCATTGTGCCCTTGCTGAAGTCACAGTTTGGCAGCCACTCTGGGAGCAGTCTCGGCCTCCAGCATTGGCAACCAAATAAATTTATATTGCTGCCCAAGCRGGCAATTTTCCAGAGCCTGTCTAGTGCTATTAATGTTGTTATGAGGTCTTGTTATCCAAAGAGTCACCATGGGGAAGRTTTTTGTTTAAATCTTACTGAGAAATGGCCAAACTCCTGGATAAGCCCAGACCTCACTCTTAGAGTCACTTTGGACCTCAGCGCTGGAAAACCCTTTGCTGAACTGCATCCAACAGGATGGGAGCCAAGAAGACGGTGGCAAAACAGCAGCTGGAGGGATGGGAGCTCCCACCTCCACCCAATTCAGCCATCCTAAAGCAGGGCCTATCTTGGCACAGGAGAATTAGCAGTACTATATCCACTTAAGAATAGTTGCTCAGTGAAGAAAACATCATGTATTAGCAGTATAAAAATGCACAACTACTTTGTACAGACTTCGAGAGATAAAGATGAGGAAAAGGCTGCTATAATTGGGTGAGGAATTTTTGGAGTCAGGACTGAGTTGTCCAAGATGGGATGAGGAGATCCTGGGAAGGTGGCCAGGTCCACTAATGTCCAAAACCATAGCAGGATCTGATGTCCACTCAGCACCTTAGTTTTGCATCTTCTCTGGCAGACAGCCTAAGGGGCAGAGCGTGTCTCATGCTCCATGCACTAGAGACACTTACTGCATCACCACCTATTCTCATGAGACCTTCYCAGCACCTCCAAAGACAAGGATTGACTCCATCAAACAGGCAACATGACTGYTAGGATTCACAGAGCGTTTACAGTCATAGCTCAGCCCTGGCACTATCCCTGTTGGGCTGTATTCATTCCCCACCTTTCCCTAATCCGTGTCTCCAAGTGTGCTGGCACAAGGTCCAGATTCGTCCTTTTCATCTCCTCTGCCTCTGATGCTGGAGTGTGAGAGAAGGATTCCATTCACATTGTAATCAAGGCCTAAGGAACACAAATCCTCAAGGACCTACAGTGCCCCAAACTGATCAAGTTAAGGAGAAAAAACACACAGTTTTACTGTTCACAAGTATCTGAGGAAGGATTCTGTCCCTGCTCTCACCCACCCTGCCAGGTTGGGGAGGGAGAGCCAGGGTGCAGCAAGTCTTCATCTCCTCAGCCAGAGCCACGTGTTGATGAGGCAGGCAGAGATGAGCACCGAATAGACCAGAGTCTCCTTCTGGCGCCAGCTGCTGCACTGCTCCTCCAGCACCCGGAGCCTCCCCGAGATCCTCAGCAACTGCAAGCAAAGGAAAGCAGCAGATCCACTGTTAGTCCTGGGATTAAGTGCAAGGCAATAGCAAAGCACCAGAAAGGCCAAATGGCAATGGATGAAGGGATGGGAAGTGCCAACTTTTTTGGGTCCTCAGGAGCAGGTGCTTCGGGAAATGACCCTTCTGATGCCATTCCAGAACCATTAGTGCAGACAGATGGAGAACTTGACTGTCTCCTGTAGCAGTATATGAGCCTGAAGGGTCAACAAACACCTAGCTCTTTCCCTACGTTTTCCCTTAGAAGCATTTGGRACTAACTTAGCAAACTCCCCATCTACCCTCCTATGGTTCTCCCAGGAAAAACCTGCCATCTTTCACCCGCCTCTTACCTGTTTTCTCATTGCTGCCATCTCAGCCGTGCTAACCTCCTCCAGGGAGCAATCGGAGGCTGCGCCTGGCTCCGGGGAGCTGGGGAGAAAAGCAGAGAGGCAAATGGGCAAACACAGCCAGGAGGGGCAGTCACCTCCTCGCACGCGAGGCGCTGCCGGGGCAGCAGAGGGGCCAGCGTGCTCGGCCAGGCAGGCTTCTGTGGCCAGGCCACCGGGCACAGCGCTGAGAGCACAATCAGCRCTCGCACAGTGCTGCAGGACTTATTTTAGCTGCCATCATGCATCTTTAGACCCTCCACCATGCACTCTGGAGTGAGCACAGCGCACACGCATGCAGCAGACAATTACRCATAGTTTTTAAAAGCACATGCTTCACACGCTCGTATTTCTTCAGACAGAGAGAAAGAGCAATATTTACCGGGCATCCATTTTCTATAGGCAGAGGAATTCACTGGGGATGGATAAATCATCGTTAGAGCAACTTGGGCAAAAAAGCAGATCACAGAACCAACGTGGCAATCGGAGGATGATTCTCTTTGCATCAGCAGGGGAGGATCCAGCTGGTGAGAAGCAGGTAGCAGCTGGGGGCAACTATCTGAGCAAGCACACCCACCAGCACCTAAAGGATCCTGGTTTTACTTAGATAAGGATTTGTTCCCCTCCATGACCTCCAAATCCCACCAGCTCACTTTGACCTCACAAAAATGTATAAATTTTATAGCAATTTTTACTTGCAACTTGAAACATAAATAAGCAGCCCAAGTAGGCACCATCTTCTTCCATCCCTTTAGACAAAGCAGCCACCTCTGGGATTAGCCAACAGGTTCCTCTTGGAGATAGAACCTGGCTACAGAATCCACAGCAGTACCAGCTGTGTCTTAAGAGTGGCCATGCAATAAAATATGGGAAAATCAAATTCCATGATGGAAATCAAAATTGCCGTATTCTGTGTGTAGTCCCTAACATCAACCWGCCTTACAACAGCTCGTGTATAATCCCAAATTCCCCTGTGCACATTGGTAACTCCCAYGGACACTCATTAAACGTCTGACATAGCGCGAGTTAATGAGCATCTAACACGGCTCTCGTGGAGACCTCGGGGAGAAGGGAATTTATTCCCATTTGCAACACGACATTCATCTTGTCACGTCAACAAGCCAGCGCAGCGTGCAGAGACTGGAGGTAGCTAGGTCTGAAAAGGGATTTGTTGGCTAACACCTCTACATAATGTAGCTGCCCTGTAAAATGAAAGTCATGACAGACTGAATATCCAATTTCCCCCAGCACAAAGCCGTTAAAAGTGGACACATGCCACAGCTTCTAATTGAAAAATCCCGGTTGATACAGGTGAACACACATTATAGCAGAGGCTAGAAATTACCTTCTGATGACTCATACCCTTCAAGAGGTCATTGTAATGAAAATATTCCAGTCTCCATCCAAGGCCAGAGTTTTCTTTATTAAAACTTCAGGACAAACAAGTTGGGTCAGTCATTTTTTATTTTTATTACTTGTGTGGGGGTACAGAGCTGTCTCTTTAATGTGCAACAACTCCTGCACTTGAAGTGATGCAAACCCTCAAGAACAGGCACTCCAAGGTTCTTGGTTTCAAAGGGAGACCAAGACCCGTGGCAGAGAGAGGCACAGGGCTGATGCCAGCTACGTTACAGCAGCTCAGCAACAACCTCCTATCACAGCACCATGGCCTAAAGCTCCTCCACCGCACAGGGGAGGAGGATCTTACATGGCCTCTACCAAACCAGACCTCTTGGCATGCCCTGATTTCTTCAAAAAGCTGCTTCTGAGGACAGCCAGCCTGGGGGGTTTAAAGGTAGGGATATTGCTTTGCATCATCCAAACAGGCCCCAGCTTTGCTGCCTGCTCCTTCACTCCAGCTGCTGAGGGAAGATTCAACAAGACACTGATGACATAGAGGAGGTACAGACCTGTGTCACATCCCTCTCTCCTCCCTTTCTGTCCGGAGATTTTGCTCAAGAATTAGAAAAACGGAGACATTCTTCCAGGGCTGCGGAGTGCTCAGCAGCCTCACGGCACTGCAGACACGCGAGGGCTGCAAAGGCAGCTGTGAACATTTTAAACTTCCTGCAAATGTGCAGRTAACAGGGTGGTATGGAGAGGCTCCAGCACGTGCCGAGATGCTGAGCCCTGGAGCACACATCCATACTGCCTCCCAGCAGATCCAGGCCATGGGTTTTCGCTGGGGTTTAGGGTTTAGTGCAGCTGGTTCTTGCAAAGAGTAATTTGTGGGAGACAGTGCCTGGTGACAGGCTCCCTATCAGGCAGTTTGGTCTGGATTTTGATTCCCTTCATACATTTCTCACCATCAAGTTATCAAAGAAAAAAAAAAAAGTAGCATTTGCTTTGCACTGAAGAGCAGCCAAAATCCCAGGGCTCTCATAAGAGGTGTTAGATCACCCGAAGCAACCAGAGGGATGGCATTAAGCTAAGCAGGAGACTCGAGCTCTGGTGTGTTAGAAGGGACTCTGCGGGCTGACTGCACCACATACTCCCAGACCAAGGCACCCAAAGCTGGCACACAGGTTAAGTGGGACATAGAGAGAATGACAGGCTGCACAGGACCATCCTGCTGCACCTCTCCAGTGCTGGGCATCCCTGTGAGTTGCAAAGCTCATGCCTGGTTCATGCCTTAGGAAGGCAAGGGCAGAGCCCTGTGGAGTGACAGGGAGATGGCTCAGCACGAGCCCAAGTCACCTGGATGGCACCGGGCCTTGCAGAGAGTTCTGGACACGGTGGAAGAGCACCTGGCCCAGGAGRAGCATGGTCTGGAAGATGTTCTGCACTGAGTAGATCCTGTCCGTCTGCACGAGGAGGGGGCGCGGGGCGCCGTGGGTGGCCAGGGGGCCCGTGTCCAGCCTGGGGTGCACACAGAATCACGCCTGTCATCGCCCAGCCTAGCACAGCACTGGCACGGTTGGACATTTGGTGGCGCCCTTCATCCTTACAAGGGCTCCGAGCCTCGCCAGGAGCACTGACCGCTGAGCAGGCCGAGCACACAGGCTGGGCAGCAGAAACTCCCTCCGCCAGCCTACAGGTTTAGAGGCACTGCCTTCACTGATCCCATTGGTGGCCAGTGACAGGACAAGGGGCAATGGGTACAAGTTGAAACCCAGGCAGTTCCATCTCCATGTGAGGAAGAAMTTCTTCACTGTGAGGGTGCCAGARCCCTGGCACAGGCTGCCCAGGGAGGTTGTGGAGTCTCCTTCTCTGGAGATCTTCAAATCCCATCTGGATGCCACCCTGTGCCACATGCTCTGGGTGTCCCTGCTGGAGCAGGAGGGTTGGACTAGATGACCTCTAGAGGTCCCTTCCACTCTTAACCATTCTTTGAAATAAGATCACGAGACCATACGGGCCACAGAGAACAGCTCACCTGCCACCTTGACACAACTCTCAACTTATARGGGAGAGATGGGTCCATTTTAGGGTTGACCTAGGGGGCAGTTTCCCCACTGGAGAGAATGTCTCCAGTTTCCCCTTAACTAACCTTGCCAGAGAGTGGGCTTTGCTTGTCACTACGCCGTCCCACCTTGGGGACACACCAAGGACAAACAGATGGCAAGAGCTGCCGATCCGCGCGCATCCCAAACACCCCCGGGGTAGTGCTCACCGCTCGTGGCGCTGGCCCGCGCTGGGCACAGCCAGCTGGGCACACTCACTCGGGGTCCTCTCCCGCCGCGACCTGCTGCTGTGCTGGCCCTGTTGGCATTAAACACGACCACATCAGCGCGGGGATCGCCCGGGGCAGCCCGGCCCGGCGTCCTGCACCGTCTGCAGGGCAAGCGGCGCTGTCGGCGTGAGCGACGCGCTCCGTGGCCGCTGCATTACACCTTGAGTCCTGCAGCTGGGTTTCATGGCACAGCCATGTTCCAAGTCCCCAGGACAGCCCCAAGCCCTCAGCAGGGCCTCTCTGAGCAGGACTGCTTGATCTCAGCCCGTCCTTGCGGTGGTTCCCTCTAGTTTCACCCCCAGTTGTTTTCCCCCTGTGCAGGGAAGGGGAACTTGGAAGTGCAGCTGAGATGGTGGATTCTGAGGAGAACGGCATGAAGCTAATGCAGCTGGAAAGGCCCTTGAATCTTGGGAGGAAAAGCACTTTGGAAGACAGCTCAGCGGCTCCAGGCAGTCAAAATAGCCCTACCCATGTCAGAGGCCTCTCTCTGAATTAATACATACAGGGTTAAAATCTGCTTTTATGCTCGATATCAGGTTCTTTTATGCTGCTGTGATGGAACAGCYGCTTATACTTAATCCAGGAGAAATAGTGGTTGAAAAGGGACTTCAAAAGTACCAGGAGGGGGTTGTAGGGAGACTGAATCATGGTCTGCACCTTCTCCAGCCCATTTCCTGCTCACAAAAAGCATTGAGCGCCCTCGCTCAATCCACATCCCAGGACACAGCAGCCTGGCACACAGGTGTGTGGAGACAGGAGATCCCACTGCCTCTACACTCAAGGTCCTAGATAAGGATTTAGGAAGCTGCACTCCAGAAAATGGATGCAGGCTTTGGCTCATAACAGACCTAACCTAGGGGTCTGTGACCCAAACCTAGGCCTTGCCCCCTCCCACACGCCCATGGGCAGCCCTTTCTGCTCGCAACCCCGTACCGATCGTTTGCGCTTCTGGGAGCTTGATCTGGTGCCTACGTGCAGAAAAGGGAACTCCCCGGGCGCCGCGGGGTACGCAGAGGAGTCCGGGGACTCGTGCACCACAACAGAGGGGACCTTCCTTTGCTGGTCTAGCAGGATGGGCCTCAGAGCAGCATCCGTCATGTCTACAGAGAGAAAAAAGAATTAAACCAACTTTGCCCTCAGGTCAGGACGGAGGGGAGATTCACCCATGCAGGATAGCCAATCCTGTGTCTAAAGTTATCAGAAATACATCAGAAGAGTATTTTCCACATATGTGGGACGCAGGGTGATCAGGGCAGGTATGGAGGATGCCCTGCTCCGGGAAAGCAACAAGTTCGGGGGTTGTCTTTTGAGAAGAGCCATGACTCTCAGCATCCGCATGTGAGGAGTCTACCAGAGGCCAAGAGGAAGCTCCAAGGGATGTGGAGGGACAGATTTCTCCCTCCCAAACCCTCATCCCAACCCTCCTGCTGTTCTCAGTCTCCTTAGTGCCTTGCTACCTGCAAAGACACCCTGTCTCAGGCACGCACTAACACATCTATTCACTTAMTCACCTCTTTTCCAGGACATTTTGGTCCTCACTACTGGGAATAAGACCCATCCTGYGCTCTGTTGGTTGTATTTGCCCACCTCTCCCATCATGCTTCCTTATCTTGMGAAGGAACCTGACATCTGTCCTTCTGCTCCTCTTGCAAAGCAAACTGTTGAGATTTATAAAGGGATCCTTCTCTCTAGCTGTTACAGAGACCCATCAGCCTTCACGCAAAAGACAACCGGAGACATTACCTGCAAGCGAGATCCTATCTGGGATGTGCATCCGAAAGGAAGGAGGGACATCCTCGCTCGTTGGCTCCTCCTCGACGGGGCTGAAGCTTTCTGCCACCTTCAGCCTGTTGGGCACCCGCATGCTTTGATTGATGGCCTCCGTAAAGAGCAGGTCGCAGCGGGCTCGGTTCAGGTCCAGGCCCCAGAACGGCCACATGGTTTTGTTTTCCACGGATCACTTGGGTAGCCTAGGATTCCACAGGAGGAAATAACAGAGGAATAACAAAGCGGAAGGACACTGACACCAAACACCTGGCATGKGCGCAGGCAACGTAAATGTTGCAAGGCAGTGAAAATGCCACGAGAAACACGGTGAAAAGATGGACACCACGAGGAGCTGTCCCCGAGTGGGGTGTCCTGGGAAGCCCAAGGCAGGGCAGGGGGTCCCGGGCAGGCTGAAAGCCACCTAGGAATTTGGCACTGAACAGCTCAGTTAATAATGAGTAAAAGGCAACAGATCAGCACTCCTGTGGGAAAAGTGCACCATAGATTAAAAACTAGTGGAAAAAAAAAGATTAAAAAAAAAAAACATTTCTAAAATGCAAGGTTGAGGGAAGCTGATTTTTGCATTCAGAAGCTTTCACAGAAGAGCAAGCCCGCAGTGCCCAGACGAGCCACAGGCACACACGGCTCCTCAGCCCTCCCTGCTGCCTTCCTCACGTCTCACCATGCCCAGAAAGGTCTCGCTTTGCTCCCAGTCTTCCCTGTTTCCTCACAGCCTCGGGAAGCAGCGGTTTGCTCTTCAGAGCCCAGGGAGAAACCCAGGCGGAGCTCAGCGAGCAGGAGCACACAGGGGCCCTGCCTGCTCTCATCACATCCTCACCCACTTTTAGCACCCGGGGTTCCAATTCCCAGCCCACCAGGCTGGCTCCAAGGGCTGCCCAGGCCTCCTTCACCGAAGCCTCTCAGGGCATTTCAGGCCCTCTCAGCTCCCTGCCTTCTCCAGCAGAAGGGGCTCCCTGGGCACGACAGGACCAGGCAGCTAGACCCGAAGTCCAAACAGCCCTTTTCCTGCTCCATCCTGAGGTGTTTCAGCCCTTCCTAGCCAGCTGGTTTGGAGCCACCTTGCTGAATTTGATCCACATGGGTCAGCAAGCACCAGAGCGGGCTGTGTCCTTAACAGCAGCAAGCTGTTAACTCACACAGGTTGTCCCAACCAGCATCCAGCCACGCTGGTCCCACAGACCTGCAGCTCTGGCTCTGGAAATCCACTGTGGCCAAGCAGGAGTGAGAGACACTGTCCACAGTGATGAACACCTCCAGTAATTACCTACCTCACTTGGCTCTTCCCTCCTCCTTCATTAAAAACAGTTTAATCAAAGAGAAGGAAGCTCACCCAGCATCAGCCTGCTTCCAGCTGCACATAAAGGGGAGCCCATTTCTGCAAGGTAGGGTTGTAGAGACCAGCGACAGGGACACTGCGAATGCTGCAGCCCCCAGGCTCGCAGGCCTGTCCCTGGCTGCCCCCCACCTTCCTGTGGGGGTCCCCTGCCACCTGTGGGGTGGCAGGCAGGCCACCCCACAAGCCCTGCCTGGGCCCRGCCTGTCTTCACATGTGTCTGCCCCAACCTGCCCTCCCACAGCCCCAAAACTGCAGGAAAGGAGGATTTTTGCAGGGACTCTCTCAGGGAGCGGCATCAGCAAGTCCCATGACTGTCCCGGAGCGGTGCCAGACCCTCAGGAGGAGGAACGTACATGAGGCCTTCAGCCCCGCAGCCTCCGGCCCGGCACGACAAACACTGCAGCCAAGTGTTATTTTCTTCCTCCACATTTTTGGTGCTTTAGAGGAACAAACACCCGCATTGTTTTCATGTCCTGCCYTCTGTGAAACCAGCATATATTAATAATAATACATCCAGAGATGGACGATCCATTCAGTTTCYCATTGCCTGTACAACTGCTGCAGCACTCGGGAAGCACAGGGATGGGAGGGAAGCGGGCAGCAGACTGTGAGAAACTAAGCTATTAAGACAAAAATAAAATTCAGCTGTCAAAATCCAAGAGAATAAAGGGCTTAAGCGGCTGGATTTCCTCCTTTAACTTTCTTTAGGGCTTTTCTATTTACTGCCAAGCAATCCCCTCACGTCAGCAGAGGAGCCGGCCCAGAGGCTCAGATCCCGCCGTTCCCTTTGCGGTTGGAGTGGCGGGGAATTTCCGGCCTGCTAAGCCCCTGTGAGCAGGAAAGCYGGGAAAACCGACGCGGGGGAGACACCGGAGCGTCCCAGCAGCCCGGGCGTCCCCGGACAACCCGCCTGGGCTCGGTGTCGCTCAGGGAGCACTGGGGCCTTGCTCCTCCTCCCGGCTCCGGCTCCGCGTGGACGCGGCCTGGGGTGCCGCGGGCCGGGYAGGACCCTGCGGCAGGGAGGCCCCTTGGGCGCTCGCGGCCCCGGGACGCTCCCACCGGCGCCGTTCCTGGACACGCTTCCCAGCGAGTGAGGCAGCACCAGGAGCCCAGCGGGAGCTGCCGAGCGCTCCCTGCTCCCGCTGCTGGAGCCGGCTYGGTGCCCCATACCCACCAGCCTCCCGATCTGCAAGGGGCAGCGAGGGCACTTACAAGTTTTGGGGGAGTTTAGGACCACTTAACTAACCTGTAAACAAGTGCTCTTCCTGCCCCCGTGCAGCCAGCTGGGAGGTGATGTCAGCCAGGGCCCAAACCCTCCCATCCTGGCCGCGTGCCCACACACGCTTAAAGACACAGCCGGGCTCATTAMGGAGGCGCCGCAGGTGCTAACGAGCGGGCTGCCTCCCTGGACAGCCAGGCACGCGGAGCGGCTCTCGTGGGCAGCCCAGCCCCGAGTGCCTTCCCCTCGCTCCTGCGGTGAGGCACACGCATCCCTGGGCTCCGCTCGCCACGCGGCCCGGGCGTTTCGCACCGAGCGCCGGTGGCTCCGGCCTCCCGGGGCTCCTGCCTCGTCTCATGCCCTGGGCACACGACGACGCCAGAAATAGAAACGGGCGGCGTGCTGCGAGCAGCAGGCCCTRCGCCCTCCTGGAAGGCCTCCAGGACGAGGCTCCGCTGCCAGTCCCAGGAGCTTTTCTCCSCTTTTCCACAGAGGGACGTTATTGTTCACAGCAAACACTGCGCAGGCTGTGGCCRCGCACAAGGGCTGCTTTGTGCGGGCCGGCACGCACAGTGCAAGGAGCGGCGCGCACTGTCCCAAAGCCTGTGCGGAGGTGGCATCTCCAGGGGCGCGGGTCCCCAGGGAGCCTCTCACCCCTGCTGGGCACCTCGGAGCACTCATGATCCCACAGGRATCCCATCCCGTGGGGCCACAGCTCATCTCGGCAGCCCCTCGGCGGAGTCTGCGGCGGCGAATGATCCTCTTGGGATGAACAACAGTGTTAAACACTTCTGAATGGGGACGGAGTCCAAGGCCTGACCGTGAAATCCGGTTTTGAAAGAGCTTAAAATAAATCCCGCGCTGCCCTAGCCTTGCTATTTAAAGGGGATTATTGAAGAGGTTTAGGAGCATATAAGGGGCACATCAACCACAACCTGGGCAACCAAATCCCCGCAAAGACTTTAGGAAATGCCTCCACGCTTCACGTACCAATCAGGGCTCACAGTTCCCAGGGGCTTCCCCACTCCCACCACATGCTTGGGAAGCCAGGCGCTCCAGTTGGATGGGAAGGGAGCGGGCGGCTTCGTTCCCCGGCCGGGCCCTCCTCGCTGCTCGCGGTGCTGTGGCCCTATCGGCGCCACCACCCACAGCCACGGTTGGGACTGCAGCTTMCAGCCCACAGCGGAGCCACGTCCCAGCGCCTGCACAAAACCCCAGCCCAGCTAAGCCCAGGAGACGTCCCCAGCGCCAGGAACCCAGAAAAGAGGCACCCGCAGCACCCAGACAGTGAGGGTTTTTTAATAAATATCTTCTGGCACAGAAATACACCAGGTTTTACAGAATACAAACTGCAGGGATAATGGCCGAGCTTCAAAGACAGAGGATGCAGGAGAGCCCGTCCATCTGCCTGTGGTCTTCTCGGGGCTGCGCCGGGCCCTTGCAAGGCCGCCGTTTGCCAAGGCCAAGGCGAGGGCTGAGGGGAGGCCATGCGGCACCGGCAGCCCTGTCCCCACAGGCCCTGCCTGGCGGCGGGTGCAGTGCTGGGACCGTGGGGTGCAGCGGGCAGGGCCATGCGCAGCCCATAGACACGAATGTCCTCTCGGTGCTGGTGGTGCAGGAGCCCTGGGGCTGCAGCGCTGGGTGCTCCAGAGCCCGCCCCAGGGACCCTCCTTTTTGGCCCGTTATTYGGGTCTGGGAAAGGACGGGCCCAACTCCTGGAGACTGCAAGCTGCCCTCCCTCAGCWGCAGGGCAGGGGACACGTTTGTCACCCCCCAAGGCCCTGCCCTGCCACCAGGACACCCAGAGACACCACGGCTTGGCCCTGCGCCCACCCCGTGCTGTCCCCAGCTGCCAGGCCAGGGCCTCTTGTCATCGCTCGGCTCTCACCTGGGTGACCATTGCTAAGGACAGCTCTGATTTTGTGCCACTTCTCACCCTTGTTTCGCTGCTTTCCAGGCTTGTGGGAATCTCTTTGTTTCTCTCTGCCTTGTTCCTTTGTCCTCCAATGACTGCGAAACCAAAGGAAGGTCACGGGGTGGCCAAAAGGAGATGGGATGGGTGGAGAGGCCAAATCCCCTCCTCGGACCTCAGTGACATGGGGGCTGACCCCAAGCCAAGGGCTCGTGTCCCACTCCAGGGCACACACCTGTAGGGAACACAAGTGGAATGGGGAGAAGGGGAAATCTTACACAGCCCAGAGCAGTCCCTATAAATCCTTCACCTCCTTGTGGTGGGAGAGATGAGAGTCACGGGGAGAGGTGCTTTGGGCCAGGGCAGGGCACTTGCAGACCATGTGCTTAATGGTGCACACCTGGCCTTGTTTTGCCCCGTTAGTCCGAGTCCCAGCACAACCTGCCCTGCTCCCATGCGTTCAAAGCTCTCCCATGGGCACCGTGAGATCTCCCCACCTGCTCCCAGGTGCCTGAGGGATCTCTCAAACCTGTAAGATCTGGAAACGTTCCCAACACCCTCACATTCTCCTATGCAAGATCTTTTTGGAYTCTGCTGCAGTAAGAGGAAACCAAGGGCCCAAGGAAGGTCTATCCTTGCTTAACGAGGAACCTGAKGCAGATGTCAGAGCCAGTGAGCTGCCCCTCCACCCCACACAAGGGGCAGAGGGGACAGGCTGTAGAGGACAAGCCCTCTAGATCAGAGGCAGTGCCAGCAGCTTTCCTGGTTGTAATAAAGCAGCTGGGTCGGCAGCCAAAGAGCCCAGTGAATGGCCATGGCCACCAAAGTCACTGCCCACCACAGTCTTGGAGGACAGCAGGGTCCCACAGGCCCCTTTGCCTGCTCTGCATGATGACGCCCTTGAAGGGAGGGCCAGGCAGGACAGAGGTCCGTGCAGAGAGGGTCCATCCCCATTCCCTGCCCGAAGGAGAGGGCGAGAGAGCAGCTGAGAGCGGGGCTGGCACGGCCAAGCCCASGCCGGCTCCCAGGAGAGAGGTGTCCCTGCTGTATGGAGGCAAAGCCCCCCTGTCAGAGGGCACCCCTCAGGCCAGCTCCACCACGGCCCCTGCTCCTGGCACACACCGGAGGGCTCCCTGCTGGCACGCTGCGCAGGAAAGCAGATGCCATGGGGAGAGCAGCTGCTGGGAGGCTCTTCCCAAGTGACTTACCTCAGGGACACCTGCCTTGTCTCCTCTCAAAAATCACAGGACACTTCCCAAGCTGTTTCTCCCTGTTCTCCCAATAGGCAAGATGACCACAGGCAACACAGGGCAGACCAAGCAACCCACTCCCACCTAGCAGGTAACTGGCACACGCGGAGGAACTTGTTTCCCTGGATGCAAAGTGTGGACAGCGACTGCCAGAACAGAGAGAAACCCACAGCACCGCTCCTGCACCCCCCAACTCCTGCTCAGAGCCCCCAGCAGCAAAACAGGGTCTGGTGAAGACTGAGGTCTCAGCACATTGTGAATGGGCTCCAGTCAAATTGGGCATGTCCTTCTGCCCCAATACCTGTCTCCAGGAGGCAACGTGTGCACCCAGCAGGGCTCCGCAGAGCCCCCGGGAGGCCGCAAGGCTGTTTTAATCACGGGAAATGCCACGTCTTTTTGAAGGGAAGGGAATCAAATGCACCATGAGGAGAGCCCCGTATTGAGCCAGTAACAAGTTGCCACTTTGCTCTGGCTACTACAGCACTTACGTGTGTGGAGAGCAGGGGGAAGGAGATGCCWGGCTGCACCCCAGAGCCATCCCCGGTCCCAGCCCCTCCCCACACTGGGAGAGGTGTTTTTGGTAAGGTGGGTAAGGCTATTCCGTGATGGCACCAGCTTGAACGAGTGAGATGGGAGGCCGCCCGGCACAGGAAGAGGGTCCCAGGCACGGTGAGGGATGGGTGTGGGTGCGAGCGKGAGTGTGAGGTGGCACGAGGGAGGCCTCAGAGCCGCTATTTGCCCGCAGCAGGGCCAGCGGCCACGATCTCCTCATACTTGGGCGGCGGGTCGCTGTAGGAGACGCTGGTCTCTTCCCCGCTGCTGCTCTCCGGGTGCCCGGTCACCTCCTCGTAGGAAGGAGGAGGGGTGGCACTGGACAGTCTGGAGAGGACAGAGACTGAGTGCTCCGGCGGGCAGAGGGTGCCGTCCTGCTGCGGGGTGCCCCCTGCTCTGCCATCCCCAAGCGCCCGGCTGCTCGCCTCWCGCTGGTACTGCGTCTCGCCTTGGCTCTGGGACCGTTCCCGGTACACCATGACCCTGGGCAGGCTGCGCCCCGTCCGGCTGGCCAGGTAGCGGTTCTGGGCGTAGGAAGGGCGGTGGCGGGTGGCCTTCTGAAGCTGGCACCTCCAGATGATGAAGAGGGCGATGACTATCAAAAGAGCCACTCCCAAGAGGGGCACCACCACGTACATAGCGTCTGAGCGCTCTGTGCTGTGTCCAGGGTCCTTGACCGAGTAGACAGAGTTGGTGTAGCCTTTCCAGAACTCCATCTGTGGAAGAGACAGAGAAGCAACCGTCGTGTGCTTGCCTGTGGGACAAGCACCACCTACCAGCAGCGCCAGTGACAAACACTGCCATGTCTGGGCCCACAAAGGAAGCAGAGTCATTTGGCTGTTCCCCACCACTCTTATTCTGCCAACATCTGTGGCAACCAGCACAAAATACCATATGAAGACACCTCCACCGTGGCCAACAGCCCTCRTGCCATGGAGACAACAGTTTGGCTAATGGCAGCTCCAGCCTGGAGAACTGGGGACAGYGATGGGAATGTCTTACATATGCTGTTCGAGTGCCAGCTTGACCTGTAGCTGTGGGCACGGTGCCCTGATGCTAGCGAAGCAGAAGGCATTGCCTGGAAAGGGAAGCAAGGCCACGGCTCGCTGTCCTCAGACAGAAGGGCACAGGAAAGACCATCCTGTGATGGGGAGCACTGTGAGGGGACAGACCCTCCTGTGCTTTTCTCCTGTGCTAAGGTGCAAGTGCTTCACACTTCCACYGAGGAGTGGGCTGGGACACACCTACCGTCTTCTCCTTGTTCTCGAACACCTCCTTGACCTCCTCATAACTGCAGACCTCCTCGATGCACTCCCGCTCGATGGTGCCCTGGCGGATCTCCTCCAGGAAGCCGTTGGCCCGGGGAAGGCGCTTCAGGAGCGAGTGGGCATTCCTGGCCCCGAGGAACACTGCAACACACAAAGCAGAGAGGCGCTGAACAGAGGCAGCCCGGTGCTCACCAAGCCCCCAACAGAATTCGGGTGACGCAGGCTGGGAACACAAGCTGGGAACAGGCACCAGGCACAGCCAATAGCCCAGGGCTGCGATTCATCCAAGCTCCCAGCACGGCAAGGAAAGCCCACCCAGGGAGAGCAGACCCAAAGGAGAACAGGCCTCTTGGGGTCTGCCTGGGGACTCCAAGCACCAGCAACACCTTTGCGCCAGGGCTGAGATGCCAGAGACATAGGAAAAGGCAGGTGCAGAGCACACAGGACAACCTCAGAAGAGAGAGGAGGCTCTTACAAGCCTTGCTTCCTGCCCTTGACAGGTTCTCTCCCCCCTTGCTGGAGATCCTGCAGTGCAGGGGTGTGCAGCCAGGCCTGAGTACCATGACAAAGGTACTGAGGTGCAGTTTGTCACCTCAGTCAACCAACACAGTTTATTGCACTTTCAGAGTCCCCCTTTTCATCACCCCGCAGTTGCCCTTAAGGCCTGCTCRGTCCCCTCGGTGCTGGGGGGTGGACAGAGGCACCTCACAGCAGAAGAGCCGAGGTCCAGCAAGGTCCAGCCAGCACCTTACTAGGACACGGTCATACATGTGAGTTGATCCAGTGCCAGAGCAGTGCCAGCCTGGGCGCAGGAGAGCTCCCAGCACGGGAACCCTGAGCCCCAGCTCAACAGGCTTGCAGAGGCTCAAGGAAGCCCTTCAGCGTTCTCCAAGGAACCAGGGAGAAGAGGCCACCTCCGCAGCCCCTCAAGCGCTTAGCAGATCTCCAGCAAAGCCGTTAGGAGGGCACAAGGCAGCTGTCCCGGGCCCAGAAGCCAGCCACCAGAGCCAGGACCAAGCAGCACCACCAAGAACGTGGCGGTAGTGCACCCACCAAATCACTGCATCAGGACAAGTGGGTCCTCCTGATCACCATGGGGAGGACAGACCATGCACTGGAAACCAGTGTCCAGACTGGAAACTGCTTCAAGGTCATGCAAGCTCTTAAGTTCCACGCAGCTCCCAGAGAAACTGGTTGCCTTTGTTGCAGTCCAGCAAGGGCAAATATCTCCAAAACACAGGCACCACACAGGAGACCAAGAGGCAAACGTAGAAACCACCCTGAGAAACGTCTTATCAAACGGCTTCACAGCCCCATCACTATGGCCTTGTGGTGCAGAGGCCTTGCAGATGCTCCCAGGGCCAGGCAGGCTCTACCTTGCCCATGCCAGGCAGTGATATCCCACCATGGAGCATGCAGGTAGGAAGCCAGATGAGCTTTTTATGGCTTAGCCTTCAGCTGGATCAACCAGAAGAACCAGCTCCCACCGTGGCAACATGAACAGATGCAGGATGAGGCAGCAAGGGGACAACTGGACTTCCCCCATAGACCAGCTTAGCTGTGATGCTAAAAACGCTCCTTCAATAAGGAGCTGGTAAAGGATCAAACAAAAAGGTAAAAACTTACTTCTGTTCTTAGGAGCTTTTTAACAGACTGCGACAGGTTTCTTTCTGCTTAACCTTGAAATTACCCGGCTCCTCAAACAACACAGCACAACTTTTCTGAGCATATGTGCAAATGCAAAGGCAGGGAGAAGGCCAAGGCCGTAAGCAGCTCCGCAGCAGACGCCATCCTCTGCGCAGAGGCTTTTTTTGGTGCTGCGTGGGAACGTTTTTCCCCTGTGATTTATTAATGGCTTGTTTTGGAGAGAGAGCTTGCGGAGGGCTGAGCCACTGAGGTGTGAATGAAGAACAGCATGAATGATGTGAGTCAGAGACTTTCCCTCAGAACCGACTTTATTATGCAAACCCTTTCTTTTCTATACATGGGCAATCAAAAAAGTGTTTTCAAAAGGCACAGAAGGTGCCTCAAAAAAAGAGAAAGAAGTATTTGCAAGAGGCCAAGGAGGAAGGTAGGGATCAGCTTGCCTCAGCTTTCCCAGTTGAGCAGGGCTGTAACGGCTTGACAAGGAGCGGATTTTCCAGGGCATCTCTTGAGCCTTTGCTGAAGAAGAGATTCCACAAAAATACCATCTATTTGGCAAATATCTGTCACTGGAGAAGGCTGGCCTCAACTCCTTTGCCTCCATCAGGCTGCGGTGTCAGTTCTCCCCTCCTCAGTGCTTTGGCCTGAGGCTCTTGCCAGCTTCCTCAGCACCTCTTGGAGCAGCAGGGACGGCTGCACGTCGTAGGGTTTTCCAGCCCTGCAGGTATCAGTCACTGCCCCATGCCCTGCTTTGCCATGTTGAAGCGGCCACTATGATGGGAAATAAAAACAGGCAGATATCAGGAGCCAGGTACCAGCTGAGAGCACGTTGGGAGAGACGCTCGTGCCTCTCCCCGCACCCAACCTCCCGGCGGGATCTAGGAATGGTGGCACAGTGGGAACCTAAGTGACCCTCTTCCTCCTCACTCCCCCCTTCCACATGGGGAGAAAGTGCGGGGTGCTCACCGGCCTGTGGAGCAGAGAAGGAACCCCAGTGGCCTTAGTAACCAAGAGCCTTCAAACCGCTCTCTCCTGACTGGGACCCGCGAGGCACATGAGGAGCACGCAGCGGTGCAGGAGCGAGCACTGTCCTCAAACCAGCAGGCAGAGGAGAGTCTCCCACAGCCCAGCAGCGACCGGCCCTCGTGCCTCTCCAAATCTCCCAGCACCAGCTAGAGCACTGGTGTCCAGGAAAGGTCAGAGCTTTAGGCAGGGGGAGCAAGAGCCGAGGGCTGGCTTCATGGCCATATTTAAGGTGCTGCTGGCCCCTGGTGGCAGGGCCACCCCACAGCTCTCCTGTCTGGCATCCAGAAACACTCCCAGGGCTGCTTCTGGTCACGGTGACAAGCAGCTGTGTCTGGAAAGAGGCAGCCAGGACTGCATGGCAGGCCCTATGGGGAGCACAAATGGGTGACTGTGCTAGCCAAAGGGACAGCTCGGTGGCCAAGGGCACTGCACCACGTGGGTACTGCACCCACAGGTAGCCAGGAATGCTGCGCAGTAGCCCAGAGAACAAAGCTCCAGGAGGGAGAAAATGCAGCAGCTGGAGACCTAGGGACCTGGCAGATCCATTAACAGCGGATTAAAACTGTCTTTCAAAAACGCTAATTTGTGCCAGAGTCTGAAACAGCCTCATATGGAGACCCCTGCTCCCTCCCGCACGTGGCACAGCACAAATGACAGAAGGGCACGTACCTGCCGCCCCTCGCGTGCTCCTCCTGCCCAGCGTGCCGCTTGCCTCCGCCTTCACCGCCGGCGACATCCCAAGCAGATCCGGAGATCCCAGATCTGCAGAACCTCCCTGTCCCGCTCGCCATCCTGCAGGCAGTTCAGAACCACCAGCTCGCTGTGTTGCCGGCACAGAGCTGCGTGCAGCCCCGGTGCCGGCTGCCCGGGAGAGCGAGGGGGAAGGTTCAGCCCCGCTCCTTACAGACCACACGTCACTCTCCACCCTGCACCCGCGCCTGCCTCAGCCCAGCTTTAAGCAGGCCAGCCCAAGCGGCCGCTGCCAGGCCCTGCTCAGGTGCCAGGCCCGGCAGCTCCAATACGGAGCTGTTAGGGAGTGACACAGAGCCCGAGCGAGCCCCAGGAGCTGCACACAGCCCAGGCTGGCCCTAGGCTGGGCATGGCCTTGGATAGAGCTCCTGGGCCAGCCCCATGAGGAACGCTGTTGATAGGAGATCCCTGTGCAGAGCAGTAACCCCTGCAGAGGGGCCAGTCCAAAGAGCTGAGGGAGCCACGCTCTGCACATACAAAAGCTCATACAGATCCACCCTKCAGCCATACAAAAGCTCATACAGATCCACCCTGCAGCATCCGTTGAGTCCTGGAGAGGTCAGTGCTTCAGCACCACGTCTCACTTCCACCTTGCACAGGGGAGAGAGAAGCACAAGCCCAGCCGGACCTCACGCCTTGTCCAGGGACAGCAGCCACTGGCATCTGCTCCCCATGGAGAATAAAGACCCCTCTCCCCCCAGACAGGGCAGATCCAGGAGCCCCTTCCTGGAGAGGCRGCTGCAAAACACCCCCCGTCTCCCCAGCGGCACCACCGTCACCTCTCTGCCTCCAGCGGGGACACTTACTTGCCATGCTGCCTCACTCGGCCACTGTGGGCTCCCACCTACCTGCAGGGAAGAAAACAGGAGAGTCACTGAGAGCCCACGCTGCAGCCCCGCAGCCCCCGGAGCCCAGGAGCACCCCCAAAACCCCCTCGGCAGGGGACAGGTTTGCTACAGGAAGACCCACACGATGCACAGGAAACAGGTTCAACAAGAGGTTTTGCCATTACAGGCCTTTCAYGGTTCATGTTTCCAAACTCCTTCCAAAGCTGCAGCGTCCCAGAGCCATTTGCTCCTTCCTCCCTACCTGCAGCCCACGGAGGAAATAGGGGCAGAAGGGAAAGTCAGGCCAGCCCTGCAACCTGCCAAGCACTTCTTTGAGGCCACCAAAATCACGGGTGCTCAGACAGCGCCAGCTTCTCCAGGAGACAGAACCTCCAACACAACCAGCAGGACACAAAACGGGAGCAAAAGGGAGAGATTTCCCTTCCCTTGACTCGGACACCACTCCAACAGCCAGTGAGATGTCTTGACACAACAGAGATGAGCAAGAGGAGCGATCAGGGACACTGTGCTGARTGTGGAAGGAGCACGTGGCATCATATCCCTCCTCTGCCCGGCCTGCCCAAGAAGTCAGAGGGCTGCAAGACACCCAAACTGCAAAGGGAAGATCTGAGACCAAGGAGAAACCCGTTGTCTCCCCAGAAGATCCAGCCTRTGTTTGAGAGGCTGCAGGGAACACTCTGCCGCCCTTCCCTCCCGTCAGAGGCTGACGGACGCAGGTGCAGCAGCCGGCTGCTTTTGGACCCACGTTCTCGCTCCTGCAGCTCCTACGCGTGGCCCGCAGCGCGCCCGTCCCCGCCGCGCAGCCCACGGCACGGCACCCCCTCTCCTCGACACGTCTGGCCGAGCCGGGAACGGCAGCACTGGCACGGCAGCTGCCCACGCAGCCAAGGYGGTGCTTTTCCTGCTGCAACGGCACCTTCTGCCCTCCAGAAAGTAAACCAAGATGCACAGGAGCGAAAACTAACTCTGCAGAGGGAGAGTATATTCTTCTCTGCACAYAGGAGGAATTTTTAGCGTGTTTTTTGTACTTGGTCTTCTCATCGTGCTCTGACACAGAACTGAACACAGGGGTACAAAGCCCCTTGCCTGCAGAGGGTAACTGTGACAAACGTCACGAGCGTCACAAAACACGGGTGACAGGAGCAAGCTCCCTCAGGGATTCACACCCAAGGGAGGAGCAAAGGCAGTTAGTAACAGGGGGAACTAAAACACATCGTGACCTGAGACTTTGGCGGTTCGGTCYGCACCCAGAAGCACTTCAGGCAGCTCCGCTGGGGGGTCAGCAGCAGCACGAGGCCCTTCCCTGCTCAGCGGTGTTAGGAGTTTGTGTCTAACAAGCTGAAAGGCACCGATGCAGACACGTGGAAGGGCTGGAGCACTGCCACCAACAGAGGAGGTTTCTATCCTCACCAACAGCCCGTTTATGGTAAGAACTACCATTTCTCACTGCAAAAAACAAGGTTTCCCAGAGCTTCTGAGGTTCCTGCACCAGGARTGGCAGGATGCCGAGCACGCATGGAGCTGCACGGCCGGCAGCTTCCAGAGCCTGAACGTAGGCTCTTTAAAACGGYCTGTGAAACTCCGATGGAAGAACTCGGGCTGGAAGAGAAGCAGGGGAAATCAGCAGTGACAGAACTGCATAAATCCAGAAGGCCGGGCCCGCACAACCCAACACGCTGCTCGGAAAACTTGCCTCAGTTTCCACAACGTGAATGTTCAGTGCCACAGGTTATTACCGGCAGCGACACCACATCCCCCTCGTCGACAGGCAGCAGGACTGACTCACACAAATAACRCTGGGCTTTCAAGATCGGATCCGTCACTGTCACAGGTTCCACAACCCATATGGTGCATTGGGCACAGTGATCGGCATAGGAAGATTTTTATTTTTAAAGCATTTTTTTTTTCCCAAACAGAGGGCTGGTGCRCACCGTATCAGAGCTCAGAGACCGTTTATTCCAGCGCAACAATAAACTAGGTCTACAGAAGCCTACGAGCACGAGAGATGCCAACCTCTGGGTGCACGTGAGAAAGAAGGGCATCCCGGATCCCCCCTTGTATTTCCACAAGGGAATTCCTAAGGGGCGTCACCAGCCCCGGCACCTCGGAGGAGCAGGAAGGCCGGCTCCCGGCTCACACACGAGCAAGGAGCCGAGAGAGGCCCGAGGCCGGAGCCGGGCTCAGGAGCTGCCCCGCGGATCCCAGTGCCTCCCGTGGGTCCCGGTGCCTCCATAAATCCCCACGGACCGGAGGTTGCCAGGGGAACCGCGAGGAGGGCGAGGGCCACGGATGCTGCAGCCGCACGTTCGTGTCCCCCCGCTCCCGTTCGTGTCCCCCCGCTCCCGTTCGTGCCCGCCGCTCCCGTTCGTG